CACTTCTCTTTCATAAATGTATAAGAGAGGTAGGCCTAACTGTTGGCCTATAAATACACAAGTAGAACATTTAGTTATAAGGTGTGAGGAATTAGTTTTTCTCTTACCTAAAACAAAGGAGCTGCAATACCATTCAAAACCCATGTCTGCTCTCTACAAAAGCAAGATGGAGAAAGACTTGCCCAAAGTGGCCTATAACTAACACATCAATTCATTCTTATCAGGAATGCTACCAGTGGTATAATTCCACAAGAGAGAGTAAACAAGAAAGTGAGAGTGGGGAGAAGAGAATTAGATTATATCTAATGTTACTTTAATGAAGTGAATATACTACATGTATGTGCTAGATAGATGGAGAAACAAACTTCCCAATATATGAAAAGATATCTCACTAGATTTAGAAAGAGAATAAATACTTTATCTCATTAATCATTACTCTACACTTCTCTTTCATAAATGTATAAGAGAGGTAGGCCTAACTGTTGGCCTAGTCTTACACAAGTAGAACACAAGTAGAACATTTAGTTATAAGGTGTGAGAAATAAGTTTTTCTCTTACCTAAAACAAAGGAGCTTCAGCATGCAGTACCATTCAAAATCCATGTCTGCTCTCCACAAAAACAAGATAGAAAATGGCTGACCAAATCTGCCTAACAAGTCAATTCATTCTTATCAGGAATGCTACCAGTGGTAATTCCACAAGAGAGTGTACACAAGAAAGTGAGAGAGGGGAGAAGAGATAGGAATAGGGATTTGTGTGTAAGGAGGGGGAATCCTATGTACATAAGGAGAGAGCAAGTTAGAAACAGGGAGTTGACCTCGAATCAAGGTCTGGGTGTGTGCTCTTATGTAATACCTGATAGTGACATTTCAAGGTGTTAAATATATGATACAGTCAGAATAAATGGCACCCCCCCCCCCTTCCCAATCTGGTATGCTGCAAATAAATGTTTCAAAGTTTCAAAAGAATTTAATTAAATTTACAAGTAATTTGACAGGTTACTTCAGCATGAAAAAGCTATTGTTTCAATTTCAACACGAATTTTCTGAACTTTCAATGTAATTGCATATGTTCTGACAAAGAGGCTCAAAAATGTATCAAAATAATAAAGTATGCATTTGTTTACCTTAATTATTTCAGGTGAGAGATATCTTCAGATCAATATTTTTTATTTTAAAAAAAATTACATAAAAAGGATGCTGGTGGAGACAAGAAACTAGGAAGTAGGAACTCATTTTCCTTGGCCCAAGACATTTTAAAAATACATGTACATATATTAATAGAATAAATAAAAGAAATTGGCATCCTGAAGGGAACTTTAAAATATATACATGTATACCGTGTGAGTCAAAAAAAAGTTTACAACTAGAAAAATGCTAATTATTCTAAAAATCATCTATGAACAGTAAATTATTATACATCTTATGAAAGAGTGTTTTATTCCAAATCGTTTGGTATCACTTTTGTGTGGTATGTGTTCACGCTTGGATGAACAGGAGGCATTGTTTGTGAAAGTGCAAAAATTGACTTGCGCCAAAGTGATGCCTACAGTATGTATTATGTTGGGATCAGCGGAGTGAGAGAATGAATTGAATGTATCAAATGAAATGCATTGCATATGTTTTTTGCAGAAGCAGAGTCACAAGCAAACACACTAACAATGTTCGTTGATATTTTATATTCAATTTTTGATATGTGTGGCATGATTAATTTTGTTTGGGATGTTGTGTTGATCTGTAATGACTGAAATAATACCCATATCGCAATTGTTTTATTCAAACATCACATTAGCAACTTTGGCGCAAGTCGATTTTTGCACTCTCGCATGCAATGCCTCCTGTTCATCCAAACATACCACACAAAAATGATACTAAATGATTCAAGATAAAACACACTTTCATAGAATGTATAATAATTTACTGTTCACAGATAATTTTTAAAATAATTAGCAATTTTCTAGGTGTAAATTTTTTTGGGACTCACACTGTATACCTAACTGTTTTCCTGGGAGCTGGATCACCTGTTTACCAGCGAGATCGTGGCGAGCTCTGGGGAGCTCTGGGGAGCTCGCCACGAGCTCCTCAGTTTAACCCCGAGCTCGCCACGAACTCCCCCTTTTACCCACGAGCTCGCCACGAGCTCCCCTTTTACCCACGAGCTCCCGAGTTTACCCCCGAACTCACCACGAGCTCCCCAGTTTAACCCCGAGCTCGCCACGAACTCCCCCTTTTACCCACGAGCTCGCCACGAGCTCCCCAGTTTACCCCCGAGCTCGCCCACGAGCTCCCCAGTTTACGCCCGAGCTCGCCACGAGCTCCCCCTTTTACCCACGAGCTCGCCACGAGCTCCCCCTTTTACCAACGAGCTCGCCACGAGCTCCCTCTTTTATCCACGAGCTCGCCACGAGCTCCCCAGTTTACCCGCGAGTTCGCCACGAGCTCGTGGCGAACTCGTGCACGAGCTCGCCAAGATTTTGTAAGATCGTTACAAGCGTCCTGGGAGCGTGTTACGAGCTTAAAGCCTAAAAAACGATCTTATTAAGCTTACCACGAGCATAATACGAGTTCGCGACGAACTTAAATTTGTATAGGGGTATCTTCATAACCAAAGGTAATTTCTCATTCATATTTATCATGATCAAGGTCAATATCTGTCCGGTCAATTGAAGGACAAATAACGCGTGCGTGTGCGTATGTCCGCGCATCAATGTGCGCGCAAAATTTTGAAATGCTCAAAATCGTCTCAAAATCATTTTTTGCATACGTTTTACGCTATTCTAAGCATTTTATAAAAAATCGCACACACGCGCATGCTCGCGCGTTTTCGCGCGTAAAACTATTACACAACATAGAATCGCCATTTTTCATAATATTTTTTTCATAATATTTTCTTTCATAATATTCCACATATTTTTACAAACAAATTGATACCATGTTTGTCTCTTTATGACTATTAATAACAGAATGATCGACCGTTAAACAAAATTTCAGTGCGCGCGAGCTCTTGTAATACATAACATATATGGGCAAAAACATGCCTATACAAAATCCATTGTAGCTCTTTAGAATGCAAGGTGACCCCAATTTTTTTAAATATTTTAATAGAGTATGATTCGGAGATATTTTTTCATGTCTCATATGACCCTCAATTAACTCATGACGTCATCATAATGGCCTCCCAACTCAAAATTCAAATTTACATATTATGACGTCAGCATATTTGGGGAAAATTGATTGTAAATATTGATCAATTTTCTTCCAAATATTGATATGTTCTAGCTGAGACAATTTTCTACAAATGCAGTTACTATTATTCTTCATTTTGACAAATGCATCATGGCGTACTTTTGCGATTAAAGGAGGCATGTCAATTTTTCATATTGTGCGTGTATTCTCTATGGGACATGACTTTTTCTTAAAACTCGACTCTACATTCCCGTCTTTCGCAAGCAATATCTACGTCGTTTTAGCTTCGTTTACGCTGAACTTTGAGAATGTTGTAGCCGAGACAAAAAGCTATCTCAAATATGCCCTTTATTTTGTCTCGATTTTTTGTTGGATCAGCCCACCTATACTTGTTCCAAACAAGTATTACAAATCTAGTTTTTGTATGGTATGTGTTCACGCTCGGATGAATAGGAGGCATTGTTTGCGAGAGTGCAACAATCGACTTGCGCCAAAGTGATGCCTACAGTATGTATTATGTTGGGATTAGCAAAGTGAGAGAATGAATTGAATGTATCAAATGAAATGCATTGCATATGCTTTTTGCAAAGGGCAAAGTCACACACACACGCGCACAAATGTTAGTTGATATTTGATATTCAATATTTGATATGTGTGGCATGATTAATTTTATCAGGGATGTTATTTAGATCCGCAAAGACCGAATTAATACCCAAATCCCAATTGTTTTATTCAAACATCACATAAGCAACTTTGGCGCAAGTCGATTTTTGCACTCTCACAAACAGTGCCTCCTGTTCATCCAAGCGTGAACACATACCACACAAAAATGGTACCAAATGATTTGGGATAAAGCACTCTTTCATAAGATGTATAATAATTTACTTTTCATAGATGATTTTTAAAATAATTAGCAATTTTCTAAGTGTAAACTTTTTTTTGACTCACACTGTATATTCTACATGTGCCTGTTCCTGAGCTAATTCCTACATCTCTGTTTCAAGCTTTAGTATATTAACAAGTGTTATAGTGCTCTGGTTCCTAATGTTATGAACCAGAGCACTATAACACTGAGTTCCCATAGAACATCTATTTATTCAGATGGTCATATCTCAGCCAATACTTAATAAATTCAATTGGTTTTCAACATTCAGACATTATTTTTGATGCTTTTTCGGAAAATGAAGTAAAAGTTGAGAATTTCAAAAAATAGATTTTTGATGACATCACGCCTCATCTATAGTTAATCTATCTGAATTGTGTCTATATTTTTATTTTGTCTTTACCGTATGGTTGAATGAAATATTCAAATTAGTGGTGGCCTTTACTATGTTTAAAGTTAAGCCTTAGTCATGATAATACAAAACAAAGGTCAATAAATATAGGCCTACATGTACAGTACATCATGATATTAAGTTTTGATGATAAAGTCGCTTAATCTTACCTTCTAATTATTTCAATATAGCAATCATTTCATTTCTGTTTTGCATTTATGCTCCACAGGTCGAGCTGTATCGTTAGCTGGATGTCATTTTGCCGACATAGGTCCTTTGTGATAAGCAGGCCCGTAGCCAGAGTTTGATATTTATTTTTTTTTTTGGGGGGGGGCACATTCATGGTTATCGATCGACGTCCTGGGGAGGGGTCTAAAAAATGTCAACCGATCTTTGAATTTTTTTTTTTTTTGGGGGGGGGGGCATGTGCCCCCCCCCCCCCCTCGTGGCTACATGCCCGATGATAAGCCATGAAATGTCAGGGATTAGAACAACTAAGCATATCCATTATATATTTTACCTTGGAAACGTGTGTTGAATATGATCGTCTGTCCATAGGTTTCAACCACTTCAAGTGTCACCGATGTCTCATCACTCTCCTCGGTTAGGTCGAGCTTAAAGTACTTTGTCACTTTCCTTTTCAAGCTCATGTCGCTGTACTGAATAGCCTGAGAAAATTTCCCAATTATATAATTACTTTGCATTCATGATTGTATGAAATATGTGCGAAAACGCAGATGCATGTAGAGAGTACTGATGAAAATAATGAACAAAAATTTACTCTATTTTACAACTTTGTCCAATCAATTCCATTGTTTCGAATCTAATTTCGTCATTCCCGGCTGCTAACGTACAATTCCATGAACCAATTTTGTAATTTTCCAGTGAATTTCGTCAAAGCATCATCCGTTCGTTTGCTATTATTATAAACATGTACAGTATGTGTTACGACATGATTATTCCTTTCTACCCGAAATTTGCTTTTTGTATATGTGTAAAACAAAAAAAAATATATATTTATTCCTATTAGGGTAGGTCTATGAATATTTATTATCATTATCATCACCATCAGAATGATTCAATTGAGTTAATTGGCACTTTGTTTTACTTTATCTCCTGTTAGCTCTGCATTTATTGTTCTACCTATTATCATGACGATTCCTTGTCTTGCCTTCGAAATAATTTATGAGCATGGATGAGAGAGCAACAATGCAGTACAATACAAATTTCATTCACGTTACTAATGACATGAGTGACATGTAGTGTGGGCACCTGACAACAAGCCACTGATTAAGGAATTTTATATTTTCACACAGTGACATGTCGGTTTTATGTTAGGAATCAAGAATAGAAATGTTCTCATGGCCGGCCGGGGAAAAGTCCCTAGTTTCATTAATTTTTTCAAGAGCAATGGACTTAATGTGAAAATAAATAAATTGCAGCTGTTTCAAGATATGCTAGCAAAACGTTAACAGCCACATACCGGTAAGACATTTAGAGGAATTGATGTCAATGCTGTTTGTTAATAATATTGATGTATTTGCTGGGAACGAGACCACGATGGATAAAGTAAGCATGAGCCTATATTTAGCCATTTTTGCATATTTAATGAGCTGTGACCATTAACCTTTGACGTACATACTTAACATTACTTACGTTATTAAATGAAAACCATATTTTCGCATATATACATTTTTTTTCTTCATATTTTATGAGCTCATGACCTTTGACCTTTGTCCTACAAATTTTATTAAAATCCGTCAAACATTACTAAAGTTATCAAACAGAAACCAGATTTGGGTATTTTTGCCTATTTCATTTCATTTCAAAGACATTATTTTCTGCAATCAAACAAATCAGTTATACAACAAATATGGATAATTATATAAAACATAAGGTATGCAAACAATATACAAAATGTAGAAACAAATGTATAATACATGAGTAAGAGTAAATTTATACGTTGGGCCATTGCGTGTATAAAGAAAGAAAGCAGAAGGTCGCCGTTATAAGCAAAAGCTTGAGCAGACGGTCAACCGAGCTAAGATAAAAATGAGTTGTGAAATATTGGCAAAGTAACAAGAAGAGGGGGCCATGATACTCAAATGATATATATAACAATTAAATGTGAATATAAACAGTTGGATTCAATATAAATAATTATAGAATTAGCATAAGAATCTCATCTTTATAAGGCTACTAATTATACGTTAATGACAGGGATAAGAGAGAAACTAAACAAAAACAAGGGTGCGAGTGGTGCGTGTGTGTGCAATGAGCTATGACCTTTGAATTTTGACCTAAATTGAACTTAGGCTGTATTTTGGTACCATGTACCTTCACAATAAATTCATTAAAATCCGTCAAACATTACTAAATTTATCAAACGGAAACCAAATTTTCTAACAATTATCTATTTTCGCATATATAATGAGCTATGACCTTTGACCTTCGGAAACCAGATTTGTTATGGAAGTACGGACGGAAGGACAGACAGCGGCGTTACTATATCTCTTCCGACTTCGTAGGCGAGGAGATAATAAAAACTTATTTGAAGTTGAGATAGTGATGAACAAAAATATAATTGATTGCACGACTAAAACTAATATGTTAACTGTTCTTGTTTCCACATGGCCCTTTTTCCAACTTTTTTAATGAAATATAGCAATTCCAAGAACCAAAGTACACTTACATGTCCATCTGATATGGGACTCTTCTCACCCAGCTGGCAAGCGACTGTTAGTGTTCCCTGACGAAACACAATCTCATCGTCATCAACCTTCACAGGCTGGAAATCAGGGTCATTCAAAACATGGACATCCTTCTGAAAATCATGTGTACACAAAGGATTCTGATATAGTTATCTGGAAATTATCAAGTACCGGTAGATAGAAATCAAATGTAAACTTGTATTACACACTTGTATTTCAAATAAAGTATGTGCTTGAACCATCCTAAGGAATAAGCTGTGGTTGCAGGGGTCAAGCAATTGATTTAGATCTGTGGAATTGGGCTTTATTTGTCAGGAAAATCAGAAAAATAAGATAACTTCTAAATTGGCATTGATTGAGAGAAACAGCCTGAAAAGTATAAGGCATGGTCCTTCTATTCACAGTTAGGGATGTCACAGACAATTCTAAAAGTATATTTTTGGCATCGGAATATCATACTCATTTATTAAAATGATATTTTGAAAATAGAAAAGTTACGAGGTATATTCTAAAATGCAGTTATCATGATGTTTACTAAACCATGCTCGATGAATATTTACGACCAAGACTAAAAGAGCCCAAAAGAGAAACAATATTTTTATTTAAAGAACCACAAGGTCTAGAAGGAGGTTTGTTTTAACATACAAATACGTATAGTTAAAGGGATAGTTGAGTTCTGTTGCAGAGGGCACTACACAATTTTTTTTTGTGAGATAATGACAAACTGAGTGTCTAATTTGAAAGAACATAATATTGAAATGACAAAATCATCTTTGTTCGATCAAAATCGGTTCAGAGACGGCTGAAATAGAACGATTTCTAATACTTGTGTACCACCACAAATATTATATATTTTGACAAATTTGAAAAAACCGTTGAAAAAAATGAAATAACGCCTTTTACTTCGTATTTCAGCCAATGCTGATGTTGGCTTTTTTGTTGGCATTTTTATATTACCCACAATTAGCCGGCTCATGTATTGTTGTTTTTAATTAAATAATTAATTAACGGTTACCATGTTTTTTGAAAGTGGAGCTGAATTGGTATGATCGTATTGGCTAAATTTCACACATTTTGGGGTCTAAAATTACCTTCATAGCAATTTTAGGTTCTAAAAGGGCACTATAAATGTCATAGATAAGAATAAGAGCAATAACCATGCACTTTGAAGGCATTTGCGGCATTTTCTGAAAACAGAACTCAACTATCCCTTTAAATTGATAAATTTGCTTGATTTTTTAAAATACAGGCAAGCCTAGAAAACTGTTTATTTGCAACTGAAATTTTTAATGAGGGAGCAACACCTCCTCAACAAAGACGCCAGGATAAACTCAGCCTTCCTGCCATGATCAGGCATTAAAAACGACCCCCCCCCCCCTCAACAAAAAAAATAAAAAATAAATAAAAATGTGTTAATGTCTGTTTACCCATCCTTGGCCATGTGGTTTCTTGACAAATCGAACCTCCAGTCTTGGTATTCTGGAGGCAGGCATGAGTCTGGGAAGAAACGACATGCACGACAGTAATATACCCTTCAGAGATCGCCTGTTCCGAATAAAGGCAAAGAATCCTCCAGAAAAATGGCTGATTGAGACCTCTAGCCATCGTTCGTGAACGGAACAAATAATGTTGTCTGGATCCGAAAGCCGTTTAGGTGTACCTTTAAAATAAAAAATAAACTAATTCCATTCAATAAAAAATGACAGGAAACTATCGTGATTGTCTTACCTCTTAGGTTTAACATTATTATGCATCCAAATTTTTGCGACTAGGATAAAATTCAAAAGGAAAAAATTACAAAAAAATATTAACTTTATACTATAATTGTTTGTACTATGATAAATATAATTTTTGGCTGTATGAAGATAAATGTTGATACATTTGTCAATTAAATTCACTGAAAAATTATTTCCATCACAAAATCAAAATAAACATTATTTTCATGGAACATTTCTGTCATGAATCTCTCCTGGATAAGGGAAGGAAAAAATGCGTACCTGCATAGGCCTTAATGTCTTAATGGAGGAAATACAAAATTGATTTGCTGATGACTGTTACTAATCTATCCTTATAACACACTAACTACCGTTACTGTGATTTTTTTGGGGGTGACATTTAAAAAAAGTATATAGCATTTGCATAGAACCCCTAAAACCACAGAATTTGTTTAAAATTATCGAATTGATTGGAGATGCAAACATTATCATAATGGGTAGATCTTGACATTACGTGTACATGTATTTATCATTCATGTTTCCTAATGTATGACAATCAACGTCAAAGGCTTCATTCAATTAATGAACATACAATGCTATTTTGGGCAATTAACATTGCCATTTTAATTCGGGCCCTGATTTCTTACAGGAAAAAAAACAAAGTAATAAACGTCAGGGTATTGTGAAGTCTACTGGTAATTTTCTTACCAAATTGTCAAACTTAGTATATATGAGGTCGTGATTGGGTGTCAAAGTTCATGAGCCTTTCTGAGAACAATTCTTAACATTTCATATTGACGTATTTTGAGTTCACGACTGGTATAGGAGACATTTTTCGTGAATATTTTCAAAGCGACATGGCCATCCAAAAATTTTGAAACGGCATTGATCATATGTCATTGATCATATATCAGATCTTATGTCATATTTGCAACTTATGTTGTGACAATGTCTACAGCTATAAACATAGTTCGCCAATCGCGGGGCTTGGGGAGTAATATGCATCCCCACATTAAACACTTTAAATGATGTAAAGTCTGCAGTGGCAATGATGGCCACAGATGACCTTGATTTGCAGAGGCAAATCCCCCCCCCCCCCCAATACCAACGGAAACAAAAATCTTAGAATACTAGAAAAATCATAACTCATCCCATAAAATTGTTGCTTGATTAGGATTTGGGTTCTCGACTTCTCGGCCTATGCCAATGTGGGTTATATCCAGTAGATTATATGCCAGTTAACTAACTATTATGCAAACTATTTTTGATTTTCTTTTTACAAACAGCCCGAACATGTTTATAATTGTGAAAATGCTGAAAACTTGATTTAGTTACCTGACTGATTCCAGGAATACAGTATGGTCTTTACATTGTTAGGCGCAGTGACTAATGCACAGTGAGGTATTATCAGCGTTGCCGGTTTCTTAAAGCGTAGCCCAGACGGGTAACACTGGAAGCCATGGCTGGCTAGAAGCTCGTCCTCTTCAAGTGTGAGGCCATTTGGAATCTTTGTCAGTACCAGAAGGCTGATTTCCCTATCCTCCTCAAGGGCACCAGGTGGAATGTGGAGTGTAAACCCATGGGATTCGGTGGACAGCTTTCCACCGAGGGCCCCAAACTTTCCAGTTGCAGAACTACCATCTGATAACAGCAATGCAAATATATCTATTAATATAGTTTTTATTTCAATCTTGTCCACAATAAGATAAACTTTATTGCTATACCATTCACAAGGGTTGTGTAAATTTTGAAACTCTGATATTCAATACGAGTTTATAATATTTCAATCAGGGCCTATGATATATCAATAATGTATTCTCCACGTTACGCTTTATTGATATGTATCTTTTTTTCATTTGGGAACTAATTCAGCGTTCATCTCCCTAATATACATGTTTATACCTTGAAGTCCACACCTCGCCATCGTGGTGATAAAGATCCCGTAGATAGTGTGGTGTGGCAGGGTTAAGGGGGTCCCATGGGACCCATTTAAAAACCCAGGTTGGATAGTTGTTGTTTGAAGCTTAGGAGTGTGGGAGCATCAATGGCAGTTTGTGGCAGCTTGTTCCAATTGCTTACAACTCTCTGGCTATAGAAATTTTTCCTGATGTCAAGGCGGCTTCTTGTTTTGGCTAGCTTCATGGAATGGCCTCTTGTTCTTTCATAGTTAGCAAACTGAAAATAATTCTCGGGGTTGGATTTGTCGATTTGCGTCATTATCCTGTAGGTTTGCAGTAGGTCTCCTCTCTCTCTTCTTTTCTCCAAAGTAGTTAGTTTCAGTTTTGCTAGTCTCTCTTCATATGGTAGATGTTGAATACTTGGGATGAGTTTTGTGGCTCTTGCTTGAACTTTTTCCAACTTCTTTTTGTCTTTTTCCAGGTAAGGACACCAGGCCTGAATGGCGTAATCTAGGTGGGGTCTGACGAGTGACTTGTATAGTTTCAAGATCACTTCCTTACTCCTGAATGTAAAGTTGCGTTTTATCATTCCTAGTGTCCTGTTTCCTTTATTTGCTGCTGCAGCACACTGGGAGGCAACTTTCAGGGACTTGTGTACTAGAACCCCTAGATCTTTTTCTTCTGTACTTTCTTTCAGCTGGGAGTTGCCCATCGTGTATGTGTAGTGTGGGTTGTGGGTTCCAAAATGCATCACTCCACATTTGTCTGCATTGTACCTCATCTGCCATGTATTTGCCCATCTGTGAAGGTGGTTGATGGAGTTTTGCATGTCTGTTCTATCATTGTCTATTTGCACTGGATGGATCAGCTTGGTGTCATCAGCAAATTTGCTAACTGTTGATTTGTCGGTTAGCCCAATTTCGAGGTCATTCATGTATATCAAGAAGCACAGTGGTCCCAGGACTGATCCTTGTACTACAGAGCTGGTAACAGGTCTCCAGCTAGATTTGGCTCCCTGGGTAACGACTTTCTGCTTGCGACTGTTGAGCCAGGCTGTTATCCACTGTAATATGTTACCATCTATTCCATGGGCCTTGATCTTTGTTACTAGTCTCTTGTGTGGGACGGTATCGAAGGCCTTTGCTAGGTCAAGGTATACTACATCTACTGGTGTACCATTGTCTACTGATTTGGTGATGATTTCTAGGTATTCTAGCAAGTTGGTAGTTGTAGATTTCCCTTTCCTAAAACCATGCTGGGTATCCTGTATCAGACCATATTTATTCAGGTGGTTAGTTATTTTGTCTTTGATAATGCTCTCTAGTACTTTACAGCTGACTGATGTTAAGCTGATCGGTCGGTAGTTCTCCGGTTTAGATCTTGCCCCTTTCTTGAATATTGGAGTTATATGGGCTGATCTCCATTCCTCTGGTACATGTCCTTCCTTTAATGATTTTCCAAACAAAATGGTGTATGGAACACTCAGTTCTT